GAGCTCGATGGAAGGACGGACCCCACCGACCCTGGCCGGCCTGGTGAGCACTTGTCACAAAACCCCAGCCAAGAGACGAGGCATCCTTGAACACATCGAGCGAGGGCTCAGAGACGCCACGACACCGAACCCCAAAAAACCTGCAGAGGAAGCTGGCGATGCAGCAGCCGACGCAAGGCTCCCGGGATCCGAACCCATCGATCACGAGAGCGGCAGAAGGGACGACCCTGAAGAAACCAGAACATTCGCCGAAGCCAGATCTGACCCCATGGGTCGACCAGTACGACAAAGTTCAGGCTCCCGCACAGCCGCTCAAACAACCAACGTGTGACCCGGGTGCCTTCCAAAAACAGCCGAAGACGGGATCGCAGCCGCAACAGTGTCGCAGGAGGGAGAGACAAGGAAGCGGTCCGAGAGTCCCACACCAGACCCAGCCAAGTCCGAACCTGAGAAGGAACCAAAAGGGACTTTCTCCAGTTCACCATAAACTTGAACCCGGTGAGCTGGGAAAGAACCATATCCCTGGCGAGCAGACACGCAGACTGGCTGGGAGCCCTCACCAGCCAGTCGTCGAGGTAAGCCATAATCCGAACCCCTAACAGAAGCAAACAGGTCACCACGACCCAGTAAGGAGTGTGAACACTCGAGGTGCCAGATTCAAGCTGAATGGAAAGCAACGAAAGCGTTAAGCTTGTTGCCCCACGACAAAACCGAGCCAGCCACTGAACCCTGGATGAATCGGGACATGTACAATAAAATTATAAAGCCAATATGCATCCCGGAGGTCCAGAGACACCATCCAGGCAGCTATAAATTCTCCAAGTCAGGACCTGGGGCTGAACCGTCCTCCAGACACTGTGCCTTTGGACAAAAAGCAGAATCCACCGGAAAAGCAGGGATGAAGGGGGCCCGCTGGCGTGGCCCAATAGCTCCGGCAGGAGGACCAGGCTCGAATGCCTCCGCCACCGATCTGGATGGGGCAATCCCCGAAGCCACCCGAGTCTCACTACCAGTATAATTCAGCGGGGGCAGCTGCAGGGCATCTGGAAAGGCAACCAACCTCGCACGTTGCTGCAATTTAAACCTTGCATGCAACGCTAAAGCTGCTTGCACCCAAATATCAGTCTCAGTGGACTGGGTGAATGTAATACAAGCAAAGAACACCACTCGCAGGATTCCGGGTCATAGATGTCACTGACCCCAATAAGCAGCAAGGCGGAGGCAGACTGTGAGTGTCGCCCAAAAACATGGGGACAGAGCAACCTTCAAACTCGTACAAGGCGAGAGTCAGGCCTTTAGGCTGTCAGCCTAGGCCCTTAGGCTGATTGCTAAGGGAAGCCCAGGCGAGGTACTGCTAACCGGTTATCCCAGAGCTACGAAGCAAACAATCTAAAATCCCGTCGACGTTTGCAATCATGGGGACCTAGTGGAGGGCCACCAAAAACCTACCAGTGGTCCTACCGCCACACCTGGCAGACCCCCGCCAGGCAAAACAAAGAAAAAAAAAAAAAAAATGAAAAACCCCGCAAAAGCACAACGTCTCCAGGTGAGCAGAACCGGTCGTTATGCATATATCAGACAGCTGCACAGCTACCTCGTGCCCCAGCCAGCGACGAAACTACCTCCTAACCCAAGGGAAAACAGGAGTAAGAACCACCTCAGCTGAACCCCCAAGGGCGGGCAATCACCGAGCAGCGACAGAACCACACGGAGGTAGCTGCGCTTGAACGGCTCGTGGAAGATAACCCTGAGGCCGCAAAGGCAGTACTTACAGGGCACGTATGGAAGGCGGCCCCAGGTGCATGCAGCCCCACCCTGGAAACACAACCGTAACAGTCTCTATTTTCTGCTTGTTACAACTTGTAATAAAGTTCTTACATCTTGGCTTAACGTGTTAATGACATATTAGAATGTTGTTACAACTTGATATATTGGTTGTTATAACTTGTTGGGTGTTAAAACTTGTTCAGACGTTGTACCAACGTCATAGTTTCGCTGTGTATTTGCTGGGCAGTACTTTTTTGTTACGTCTGTTGCTCTCAACAAAACAGAGCAACAACACCGCACTGCAGCACTGCGCAAAGAGTGGAGCCAGAGCGATAGACCGTCACCAACACAACAGCCTCTTGAACTGAGGAGAATTGCCGGCATGGAGGTCTGGGAATCCCCCAGTCCTCCTCCCGGGGAGGGGGGGGTTTGCACAGACGGATGCGCGGCGTTTGTGGTGACGTCATACTTGTTTCCTTGGGTCTGATTGGGGTTCACCTGTTGTTAGTTCGGCTTTCAGTTTATTTGATCAGCAGTAGTTTGTTTTGGAATTCCTACCTTTCTGGGTGCCTGAACTGGTAGATGGCAGACAAAGACTGCTTCCAATTATGCAGGGGTGTCTTTAGGCCATTGCTCCTCGTGCCCCTCTTGAGGGGGCCAGGTTCTGGATCTAGTCCCCGGTAGGCCTAGAACTCCTTCGATTGACTCTTGCCACAGTCTAATATACAGTATACACATCAGCCCGGTATATCTCTGGAGAGCTGAAGGGGCTCTCCACAGAAAAAGACAATAATTATCAAAGCTTGATTTTTTATATAAAAGGTCAGAGCAGTGTTAAACAATGAATCGGAGCAGAGGAGTGTCAATAGTTTAGTCCAACAAGGTTTTGCATTAGTGCCAGTAATGTCCATAAAAAAGTCTGCCTGAATGGATAGTGTGTTTGAACATGTTTGTGGTTGATGCTAGGCTACTGGGATGAGTAAAAGATTAGTTGGCTGTCATACTATCATAATGACCTTAACAAGTTAAGTGCATAGAGCAATACATTGGAAATGGAATTGTGTGGGGATAAATATAATGTAATGAAGTGATGGGTAAATGAAGCCAAGCCACATTCATCTTACGAATTGTATGGTCAGTCTCCGTGTGGCAGTGGTAAAACTCGCCGGCGCCTCGCGAGTGCTTTGGCCTGGGTTCGTGTTCTGGCTGGGGAGGATTGATCAGGTGCCAATCCTTAACTGTAGCCTCTGTTCACCCAGCAGTTTGGGTACCTGGTTGTTAACCCTTAATCTGCTAAGGGGTCCTGAGGAGATTTAAACCCCAGTGTGCAAGAAAAAAAATTCTATAAAGTTATTTCGTCTTCTAAAAATGTTAATTTGTGTTCCCTGAGCACGGGAAAAAAATCATAGGTGGCATATTTTTGGCACAATAGGCCAAGGAAGTCTGGCAAAATTTGGGCGTTGACAGACGGCTCGTCAGAGTCGGTCAGCGTCACTCGAGCTGACAGGTGGGAGTTGCCACAAAGATATTATTACCTAATTATTTCAATGTCTCTGATTTTTTCTTAGTTTTTTGCAGTAATATTATTCAATAGTGTGTATTGTAATATATTTATATAATAAAAGGGGTGAATCATCGCTATACTCAAAAGTATGGTGTGCATATTAGTGATTCAATTATTATGTTCATGAAACAATAAACAAATAGTTTTGCTGTTATTACCCTCTATACACAGGTTATATATAAGTATCTGCGTGCTTTGTTCACCATAACGAACCTCTTAAGTTAGTATTGCGAGTCGAAAAGCAACGAGGAGTGATCGTCTCACTCAGCCAGCCACTCGCTGCGACTCCCTCAACAACGCCTCACTCGCCCACTTTCCCCTCCCACCATCCAGTTTTTTATTTTATTCACTATATACAGACATTATATATAAGTATCTACATGTTCAACACAACTGTACAACTAAGTTGATATAGTTAGTTCAGGCACTAAGAGACGTTGCTACACTCACTCAGCTGGCGGCTGCCTCCCTCACACATTCAAGGTCACACGTACTAAATTTATCCCCAACAATATTGTTTGCAGTGTTATTACACTATATACACATATTATATACAAGTATCTGCGTGCTGTATGCACCGTAACTGAACACCTAAGCTTGTAGGGTGCCCAAGGAGCATAGTGGCAACCCTCTACACAGCTAGACAAGTCATGCAGACGACGCCACCTCCATCACCCAAATGGCTCCTCCCAACATAATCCTTTTGCTTTTATTACACTAATGCACTCATTATATGTAAGTATCGACATTTGTGTTCACCATAGAAAACCACTGAGCTTGTATGGTGAATGCAGACAATAACAGGTGGCCACACAGTCAGTAAACGATGCTATCTCCCTCCGTCCCTCAGCATCACTCCTCCAACAGTGCTAATTATCACAACAATCCTGCTATTATCACAATCCTGGTCATTTTTATCAGTCAGGGGTCATCTGTAATACTGTCATCGCTAAATAATAGCAGTTATATATTTATTTTGACATTTTTCGGTGATGCTGTGCTCTTAAATATATGAATGGAAAATTATTAACAACAAATGTCACTACTTGGGTGAGATCTAAGAATATGCAGCAGTTGCATGGTATCCATAATATAAATGGGTGAGAAGATATGCTTTTAAATGGCTCCTCGCCCTAAAAAGCAAGAGGTATAAGAAAATGGAAGCGCAATATGTGCAAAAAATAGTGGACAAGAAAAAGGTGACACGATCACATACAAAATTGTGATCAAAGTTGACGATATTGGAAGAACTATTTAAATCTGCAACATGACAACAAGAGGCCATAAATTCTAGCTTTGAAAACAGGTGCCAGAAAACATACATAAATGATCTTTGGCAAACAGTAGTAGACAGATGAAATAATTAAAGTTAATGTTTGCCAGAACCATTGGAAGCTTCAAAGCGTTATTGACAGATTATAGAGAAGATGGGATATAATGAGTGTTGCTCTCATCCTGTAAATACACTTAGATAACTACACAGACACACATGCACACATTTTTGTTATTGTAATGTGAGTTTTGCATTATATATAGTGCCTGTGATTGCTTTGCTTAGCATGTGGTGCATTACTGTTTTAATAATTTGTATTTAGTCAGTGTTAACCCATTATTCTTTTTTGTCATTAATTTATTTGAAGGCACTCATGTAGATATTGTGTGTCCGTAGGGCCGATACTATGAACCTCCACCTGGGTTAAGTCCAGATCCTCCTAGTTCTTCACATGGAAAGCCATCAGTTCGATTAAGAAACAAGCCACCTGGAGGCAGTAGACCACGCCCCAAGACTATGGCTGGATCATCTGTGTCAGATACTCCTGATGGAGAACTGACACCAAGTCGTGGCAAGAAGGGGAGCTCTCAGAACATTGCTGGTGGTAAGTGACAGTATGATACAAGGAAGTTAGGTGCCTGTTTTATTGTTATTTTTATATATCTTTGAATTAAGGATGCTTGGCTGCCTTTTAAAAGCAAGTTCAGGTAAGTGTGTGATGGTATATCATTAGAGGCACTAGCATGCATGCATGCATTTTTTTTTTACTGTAACTATTGTGAATTATTTAATCTACTCTTATCTAGTGGAACTAATTGGAGCATTTTATATTGTATATTAAAATTAATAGACAATTATATACTGACCTGAATTTGCAAGCATCATAATATGACACAGTTTACATTGGTGTCAAGCTGCTTGAGCTTGTTTGGCATTGTTGAATACGATGCTTGTGCAGCTTACTTAAGCCTACCATCAATTGAAATGCACCATCCACTCTCTCTCCTTTGATTTCTTAACATGAACGATTTAGTCTGTATCCTTGAAGTAACTGTTAAAAAGGCAAGGATTTGAGCATGGCTTGCCATGTGCACCTGCACATTTGCTTATGTGTGGTGTTGTGTGTGGTGTTGTAGAAGTTGGGAGGAGAGGCGAAGGCAGCAGATCTGGCAGCATGAGGAAGAGCAGCGGGCGGTGGGGTTCTTCACAGTCACTGACACGTGCAGCTGGCTCTCGTGGATCCAGCGGCAGCCTAGCTGGAGGTAATCACTCTCTTCAGTAAATATGATAGTTACTCCATGCAGATCATTTTTATAGATATTAGTGTACTGTAGTTATTACTGTTGTCATTGAAAGTCTATATCTTAATTATGAACTGTTATAGTTATCTTCTGTGGAGAGTCCCTTCGGCTCCCCCTGAGCAATACAGGGCTGATGTGTATATATCGGCAAGAACAGTCAACAGTCATCACCTGGCAACAGTCAATCAAAGGAGTGTTTAGCCTACTGGGAACCATGAGCTCCTGGTTCCCTCAGGAAGGCACGAGGAACAATGGCCTTATTGACACCCCCGTGTAGTTGGAAGCCGTCTATGTGTGTCATCTAACAGGTCAGGCAACCAGAAAGGTAGGAATCCCAAACAAAATACAGCTGGTGAAAAATTGCTAACTGAAAGCCGAAAGAGCAAGCAGAACGCCTCTATCAGAAAACAAGCAAACAAGCATGACGTCATCACAGCCACTGTGAGGTTTAGGTTGCTGCAACACACTTGGTTGGTTACCCTTCCGGATGCCCCACAGCTGCCCCATTTGGGTTATAGGGACCCAAACTTGGGGGTGTCCGAACCCGAGGGGTCTTCCCACGACTCTGCCTCTTTCAGCGGATCGGTCCGGTCCGGTATGTGGCTGGTTCAATCTTCTCCTCCGCTCTTCGGGTCTGGTCTTTTTGATGCGGGTTTATCATGCCTGATCAGGTTGTTTTGTTCTTTCTCTCTTGGTTGTTTCAGTGCTGTCATCTTATGCCGAATACTGTTGCCTTGTATTATGTGGTGCTGGTGAAGCCGCTTCAGCTTGCGTTCGGGCTGGATGTCAGTTTTGCTCCGTTCCGCAAGCTTTCTCGGGCGTTGTTTCATCTCCGGCCTGCTCATATGCCACCTGAGCTTTTCTGGTCTTTAAACTGGATGCTTTCTCTTCTCTTTTCTATCTTCTCCTCAGTTTGTGGTGGCCCCTTTGGTTCAGAACGGTTTTTCTAAGGATCTTGTCTTGTTGGCATTGACCTCTGGGGTGTCAGGTCGGAGAGCTTCATGCTCTTCTCCAGCCCAGGGGTTTCTGCTCTTTCGGTCCTGGTGGTCAGTTTGTTCGTTTGCAGCAGTCTCCTTCTTTTCTGGCAAAGAATGAGACTGCTGCTTTCCAGAGGGGTCATTGGGTTGTTGATGCTTGGTTGGTTCGGCTGGGGGTGTATCATGTTTTGTGTCCGATTGTGGCTCTTTGCCGTTACTTGCGTGCCACGGCCTCCATGGCTGTAGACATGCTTTGGGTTGACCCAGTTTCCCCTCTAACCTGGTTCAGGGTGCGGGTTTCCCAGTTTGCCTGCAGGATTATTTGGTTCAGCCAGTCTGCGGTCTATCTCCGTGCCCATGACGTAAGTTCGGGGCTTTGGCTGCTGTTTTTGTAATATGTCCTGGGCTCTTATTCGGGCACGGGCTTTTGGAGGTTGAACAGGGTCCAAGTTCCTGACCCTTCTCAGGCGTGTGTACCCTTGGGTCGCATGTTGCAACCAGTTGTCTCAACTTTGAATTGAGGAGCAAGTAGGGGCTGCCTTCTGGGTAAGTCCCTCTTTTACTTTATCTTTGATTAAGTGACTCTGGGTAGCCGAAGGGGCTCTCCACAGAGAACCAGCATTGAATGTAATGAAATGCCAATGTCAGGGTGAGATCCGGAGGATCCCTGGCATCCGTCCCTTTCTCTGGTCGGCATTTTTTTTTGCATTTTTGATATTCGGGCTCTGAACTGAGGGTGGATAGCTAATGCGGGATCTGAGGGCTCCCCCTTTAACATTGGGGGGGGGGGGTTGTGCAGACAGCTGTGTTGATGTCATGCTTGTTTGGGGAGTTCTGCTTGGTTGTTCAGCTATCAGTAAGCAATTTTTCACCAGCTGTAGTTTGTTTTGGGATTCCTACCTTTCTGGGTGCCTGACCTGGTAAATGGCAGACATAGACTGCTTCCAACTATGTGGGGGTGTCTATGTGCCATTGCTCCTCGTGCCTCTCTGAGGGGGGCCAGGGTCTGACTCGTGGTCCCCGGTATGCCTAGAACTCCATTGATCGACTGTTGCCACAATTTAATATATACACATTAGCCCGATATAGTTCCAGAGAGCCTCCAGGTCTCGCCCAGTAAATGGGGGTTTCATTACATTCAACGCTTTTTTTTCTACAGCTTCATCCCTCTTGTATAACTTGAATTAATTAGAAATTTGTAACATTTGTACTGTATATGGAATTTGTTGTGAACCATTTTTTTTTGGGTGTGCTCTGTGATGTGACAAGTAAATTGAACTGAAAAAATTAACTACACATGTTTACAATTATAATTAAGATTATAATTAACAGTAGTAATTTGTGTTCTGGATGGTCTTGGTTAAGCAACAAAAATTAAGGGTCCTGAATCACTTTCATTCATGTGCATAACATACAGAAATGTCTAATTCTTATGAACAGTTGTTTACAAAATTTAACTGGGAAGATAAAGCTCCAACACAAATTTAATTTTTTTTAACCCAAAAGAAAATTGAAAGAAAATAAAAATTCTAAATAAACGAAAAAATAAAAAATGCCAAGATTATAGCATCTTTAAGTAATTTTCTAAATATTGAATTTAACTACATAGTAGAATAATTTTTAAAGTAACATTCTGAAAGCAGATAATACATTAACCCTTTAACTGCGCCGCCTCCAAATATGACACCCCCCCCCCCCTCCCCCCCAGTGCGCAGGAAATAAATTCTCTTGAAAAAATTCTTTTGTTTTTTAAAGTGTCAAAAACCCTTCCTTCAGTATGGGTATGTCAATTTTTTTTCAAAATTGTACTTTCTTTGGCTGCTATGGGGTCCGTAAATTGGCGTGTGACGTCGTCATTCCCCGTTCGCCCATGACGTACGCTCCCGGGGCCAGTAGGGCGCCCGGGGCGGGGCACGCGAGTTGCCGTGAATATATTTTTGTTCATTTTTTGCGCACAGTTCCAAATACATTTTATTTGTTTTTGGGTGCTAATCCTATGTATAATGAACACGTATACTATATTATGGCAGTAAAACATCCGTACTGTCCGAGGACACTGTTACATGCATGACACTTGTGTACACATATGTTGCACATATTTACCATATATCATGCTAATTTATGTATATATACAATCTATTTACAGACTATACACTGTCACACACTATATACATTCACCATCAACACATTCAGAACACCGCGAGTGTGAGCCGTCACACCCAGCCAGCCCTCCCTCCCTCCTCCAACATTATATTCGCCAACATTTCTCCTACCATCATACAGTTATTCACACCAGTGTTTCATGCAGGCCTCCACCCCCAGGAAGCAGCCCGTGACAGCTGACTAACACCCAGGTACCTATTTTACTGCTAGGTAACAGGGGCATAGGGTGAAAGAAACTCTGCCCATTGTTTCTCGCCGGTGCCTGGGATCGAACCCAGGACCACAGGATCACAAGTCCAGCGTGCTGTCCGCTCGGCCGACCGGCTCCGACTTGTTTTATTATAGTTACTTAATTTTCTACTTCAATTTTAATCTGTGAAAATTACGTAGCATTTTACCTGTAATTTTTTAATATAAGTATGTCCCTGCTGAAGCTTTTGCAGTTTGAGCTGGTGGAAGCAAGTTGTTAATGCAGGAATAGGTAGTGTAAGTGTTGCATAGCCAGAATAGTTTAGTGTGATCTTCTTGTGCCTTGGAACTCAAAGATGATGCTCATAAGTTTTTTTCAATTCTTATGATGTCTACCAATTTGTAAATTGATAAAACTGTTGATATAGTAATTTTTATGCAGATTTTATTAAGTAGGAAAAGGTATGAGCATCTTCTTCATGCACCAGTTTTATTTATTTATTTTTGTTCTATCTTCTTAAGTACTGTACTGTATTCACTTATGTTTTTTGTTCTGTATTTTGTTAATTGCCTTATGGCGTGTATGCACATCTATCCCCACCCACTAGACTATCCCAGCACGACCCGCACCCTGGACCGTGGCCACACAGGCAGACGTCCCACCTCTGTTATTGGTTACTCCTCAATCACCCGGGGGGATGGCAGGAAACCTTCACGTAGGTCTTTTTGTCTTTTTGTGGTTTGCATGTATTATATTGCTTTGGAAATTTATTCACCACTCAGGTTGGAAGAAGCAGGGAATTATATGCAATTATTTCTTAAAGTGTAAAACCAATTAAACCATCTTTGCTTCCTCCAATCTATACTTAATCTGTACTTTCAAATATTTCTAATGATTTTTTAGCTTAAATTTCAAGTTGAGAAAGTGAAATGTTTCAATATGTATGCTACAAATGGCACTGCCCCACACACCACAGTATATCGGTCCCAATGTGATGGCCTCAATTATGGTGAGGATTACCGTGTACATGAGGCGCGGCGGCCAAGCCTGGCCGTGGAAGGTGGTGTCCCTAGGCTGAGGCGAGGAACTGCCTCTTACAACAATGGTGGCTCAGCTGGAGGATACAGAAAGTACCGGTCAACTGGCAATCTGAGTG